TATATATACACAATGGAATTCTATGCCTCCATCAGAAAGAATGGCATTGCCCCATTTGTTAGGAAATGGAAAGACTTGGAAAAAATTATATTAAATGAAGTAATCCAGGTGCAAAGAAACATAGGTCCATGGTTTCCCTTATTTGCAATAACTAGTATATGTCTGAGTCAAGCAGAAAAGGTCAGATAAGTTGATGTTAGGGAAATGAACCCTAAGGTATATATTCAGATTTTTTTTTCTTTCAGTCGATTGTTTCTAACACATTTATAAGATTATTTCTTTGTTGCTTTGTATGTCCCTCCCTCTTCATTTCATTTTAAGTGACAGTCATATGCAGTGTTATCTAATTTATACTTAGTGTTTTTTAGTGTAGTTCTTAATGACTATTTGCTTTATGTTATTTAGTTTTCAATTCACTAATGAAGATAAACTGAAATTTTGATCTATTCTATATTGGTTATCAATTTCATATGCTTATCTGAATTATCAACCTCAGTCTAACTCTTCTCTTTTTGAATGGGACTTGTATGAATTGTCTTTCTATGCCACAATTTGGTTTGTGGTAAGGAAATAAGAAGTCAGTATTAACATAAAAATATAACACAGGAAAAATTGTTTTAGAAAACAAATTGTAGATCATTTGGGTAAACTTTATACAAAAGGCATTACTCAGCTAACTTTTGAAATAATACCCTTCATCTTATCATTATTAGGGTTTTGGTATAATGACTGTTTTGTTTCACAAAAAAGAATGTATATAAAATGACATTCGTGAATCTATTCCTCAAACTGAGAACCAGAGCATTTACCATACATCTCCCTATACTCTCCTTCACTATTGCAGCCTGTGCCTCTTCCACAAAAGTGATTTTGAATTTACAGGTTTCCTTTGTCGTTTTGTTGTTGTTTTTGAAGCTACTTTCATTATTGTTGTTCATTCTACCCTTCTAAATTAGTCACCCCTCTGACTTCCATCTTAATCTACTATGAGATTCCTAGACTGACTTTTTCATATGCATCTGTAAAAGATATAAAACCTTGTTTAGTCAACTATCTGTTGTCATGTATTTATTTCCATAATGTTCTGCAGTAGTATCTTTAACCTTTATGACTTCATATGTAATATAGCTCAGCACAGTTATCCCCTAATCCTTTCATGTTTACACCATCTGTTGACTTTTTGTTTCCATCATCTGTTGACCTCTTGGTTATGGTTATGGTATTTAATTCACTGTTGATTTTTAGCACTTACCTTTAGTTTTCTTCTGTTTCATAATTGCTGATGTCAGCCTGAGTAATGTTAGCATTCTCCTGAAATATTTATACAGCAACCACTTAATTCTTTAACTATCTCAAATATAATGAGCTTTAGCTCAAATATGACTTCAGTCAGTCATTCCCATAAGCTGTTCTTTGAACATTATCATCACTTGAACTTGTGTTATCTTTGATAACTAAATTCAAATTTTATTGAACTCAGACTCCCAAAGTACATACACCTTTCTTATTCTTTTATCTCTTGATTGGTCTTTTTACTTATTTGTATATACATAAGTGAAATTTATTGTTAAGACTTTTTTCAATTCTTTTACCATATTGTGTTTCTTTTTTATGAATTTCAAGTCTGGACTAGTCTTGTTTCTCATGGAAAAAAATGACTTGAACTAAGATGTGAAAATTCTCTGTAATTTAGCCAAAGTAGTTGAACCCTTGAAAGGGAATGTGACCTTTATAATGAAGAATATGAAATAAGAAAGTGGTACCAATATATAATTGTCCAGTTTTTCAGTCTGGATTGCAAGGTAGTATTACTCTTATCCTAGTATTCTTCTTTCCAAATGTGGTAAATGCAGTTAATAGAACATGTTCATTTTCAGTCTCAGTCCAGTTTATTGGAAAAGTCTAGGCTTTTAGTGGTATCTCCACCTCAAGACTATAACATGAAAAATTACCAGTATTACAGAAGTGTACAGGCTTAAATGTTTACTAAAATCATTTGTTATTACTTCAGGAAACAGATGTTACTTAGTATTAGGAATTAAAGTATTTTTCTTGACAAGCTATCCTGACAAGTACAGAAATATCTTTGCTTCATGTTACATTTTAAAGTAAACTCAATATTTAAGCAGACTTATTTAGAATGAATTATCAAGTTACCCTTCATTAATTAGTACCCTTGATAATAACATAAATATATCTTCTGATTTTAAAACATATCCCTGTTTTCTAATTACTTTTCTGGCATGCTGCTTAGCTCTACTTGTAGCTATACAGCATCTTGAGGAATAGCTGACATTGATTGTTGGCTGGATTTTTATGCAAAGATTTCATTTAGAAGCCATTAATTTAGTTGTATCTTAAAAGAGGAATAGAAATTATTTAGGTTAGATGGAAGTAAGTTGGGCTGTCAATGAGTTAAAAAATGTATGAGCAAAAACAGACCTGAAGAATGGAATACAAGACACAAAATTAAACATATACTTATATTCATGTGTTTTTTTTTTTTTTTTTTTTTTGCCAAAGGAGCCAATGTATTTCTTGGAAAGAAGACAGCTTTTTTCATAAATAGCATTGGGAAATTTTATCATCCACATGCAGAAAACTGAAACTATATTTGTCTTTTACCTTGTATTAATATCAATTCAAAGTTAATCAAAGAGTTCAATATAAGAACTGTAACCTTAAAATTACTACACAAAGAAGTAGAGGAAACATTAGAACTCTTTGGGATAGGCAGAAGCTTCCTGAGTAGAATTCAAGGGTCATGGCAAATGGGAAAAAGCCTTGACAAATGGATGGCATCAAGCTTAAAACTTCTACATAACAAAGGATATAGTTACTAAAGCAAAAAGACAGCCTAAAGAGTAAGGGGTATGTTTGCCAGATATATGTGCAACAAGGTTCTAATAAACAGAATATACCAGAAGCCTAAAACATCCAGCTAATGAAAGGAGCTATACAGAGACTTCTCAGAAAAAGTACATGACCAATAAATACATGAAGAAATGTTCAATATCCTTGGCCATAAAAGAAATACAAACAAAATGTTGATATTCTATCTCTCTCCAGTCAGAAAAGCTATTATCAAAAATATGAACAACAAATGCTGGTCTTGATTCAGAAAAGAAGGGCTTCTAATACTATGTTGGTGGTAATATAAGTTAGTCCAACCACTGTGGAAATTGGTATTGGGATTCCTTAAAAAACCAAACATACTCTGTGCACTAGTGTTACCAGACTGGACATTTATCCAAAAGACTATGGGATAAGTTATAACAAAGACAACTACACTTCTATATTAATTGCAGTACTCATCACAAATAGCCAAGTTAGGAAACATTCCAGATGTCCATGTGTGTGTACAGGTATAAGATAAAATTCCATTGCATATATATGTGTATATTATATATCATTACATATTATATATTATGAAATATATGATTAATGTATTATATACATATATATGCCATTAGGAGAATGAATTTATGTCATTTGCAGGAAAATGAATGGATCTGGAAAACTTCATTCTGAACAAGGTAAACTAGGCCCCCCAAAGACAAAAGGCCCATATTTTCTCAAATGTGGATCTCAGGCCCAAAATACAGCCTCCATATAACAACATACATAGGCATATGCAACACCACACATATGTATATGTATATATACTCAATTAAATTGAGTAAAATATATAATATATGCAGGAGTGAAACTTCATGGAGTAAACCTTTTGAACAAATAACAAAAGAATATCAGGAACTGAAACATAATTTGAATGAGAAGGACTAGTGGGAAGGGAGTAGATACATAGAACAGGAAACGGGGAAAGATATAGTTCTCAATGTACATATGTGAAAATGGAAGTGGAAAACTTTAAGACTCAAGAGGAAAGGGTGGGGAGGATGAGGAGAATAATTGAGGGTTGACTCTGATGAAGATGCACTGGATACATAAACAGACATGTTAAATTATAGCCCCTTAGTATAACCATTTGAAGATTAAAATGTAAAAATGAATTTTTCCCCTCATACTAACTATAAAGGAGACATGTTTAAGCATAGATTGAGATAACTGAGGTCATTATAAATATTTATTAATAAATCAATATTAATTTAAAAATAAAGCAAAAGTGATGGAAGCATATTTCAAGCACCAGAGCACCTGCTTAGTCAATGCAGAACCCCAAATTCTAGTAGGTTTCTCTTGTCTTAACTGTAACTGGACATTTTGTGAGAAGTCTGCCTTCTGCTGTGGTTCCCTTGTGTGCCTCACTGATGACCATATTTTCATCTCACATTGTGATCATTATAAAAAGAAAAATAGAATTTCAAAGACTGACTATAACTCTCAAAAACTTTTTTACTAAAGGGGTTGTTTACTAAGGGATTTTCCCCTTTCAATCGAGGTACTTCTAAACAGAGGTACCTTTCGGAGGATATAGGGCAGGTTAAGACATTTGAAGTAATTCCCTGCATCTCACAATAACTAATATATCTCAAGTATGAAAAATAGTTCAGTATGTAAGCCTTGAGACTAGATATTCCGCAATTTCCTTCCCACATAAAAAATTGCTTCATTGAATCAGAATATATCAAATTTTAGATAAATTAAATATTATTTTCAGTTGAGATAGTTGTAAATATTCCAATAAGTTTTGCCTCCACATTATATGAGAAACATTTGTTAAAAAGTTTACATTGATTTAAAATTTAAAGATTTAGAAATTTGATAAGTTGAGAAATTAATTTTTAGAAATTGAAGGGCTCATGGATACATCATTCTTTGAGTTTAATTGCCTATTCTGATGAAGATAGGTGTGTATGCTAAAAACAGATAACAAAGTGAGGATTTTTTTCCAAACAAGTATTCTCTCTAAACTGTGTTTTGTAGAAAAATAAATTATGATTTTTGCAGTATAAGGTCACATTTTCATTTCTCTCACTTATAATTGAGGATTATATATGAGTTTACATGAAAATACTAAACTTAGCTAATCACATTGTGATACACAGACTTAATATTTATGAAATCACAAATGTTACCCTACAATTTTGTAATGTTATCCCAGGGTATGAAATTGTTTACAATTTTTTCATTTTTGAAAATAAAATTTACAGAATTTGTAGGTAAAGTGGAATTCCTTGATAAGGTTAATGCATTTCCATTTGTGTTGTGGCAACTGGGCAAGGAGGTAATAACTTCAAGTATACTTTGACATGTGTACTATGTTTGTGTTTTAGAGCCAGATTTACTCTCTTTAGAATTGTCTTACAAATTGTGGGGTTGGTTACCAGAAAACATGTATTAGTCATGTTAGATAAGTATTATCTTAGGCTCCAGAAGTTAAAAATCATTATTGAAGGGTGACTTAAATTTATTCCTTCTATGGATTAACTATTCCATGGATTAAGTTTTAGTATTAGATGTATATTAGATATATTTATGGTCAGAGAGATCACATTGCTTCAGAATTATTATTTCAGGCAATTGATATCCATTCTGCAACAGTTGGTATAGCTAAAGTGCTTTGAGATAGATAGCTGATTACCAGTTCTCTACAGAGTGATGTCTTTTGGAGTCATATTTACATGTGGCTACATACTTCAAAGTGGCCCTACTTTCCTACAACCTCATTTTCATTCTTTGGTTTGAATGGTTAAATTTTCCAGTGCATTATAATTATGCAAGAAGCCTTTTTGTATCTTGTTGGTATGTTAATATAATACACAGCCTTGCAAGTTTGAGACTTAATATCTATAAGATTTTTGACACCCTTGAAAACATTAGGAAAAATCATTGAATTATGCTTCACATTATTTGATTAGGAAATTAATTTTGCAAAGGAGGCAGTTTGGATTTTTGTTGGGCATAGCTGGGCAATTCCTATTACCTTCATTGGAAATTGCTATTAAAGGCAAACTAAATTTAGTTCTTTAGAAATTCTTAAATTCAGTAAGAATTTGCAGACTATGTTGGGGAAATTTTCTGTTTACATACTTAATAATTTTAAACAATTCCATTTTCAAAATCAGTATGATGCATCATAACCAAATAGCAGAAGGGCACTAAAGATCAACTGAGCTGCTTTTTGACTAACGTTTCAGGGATTGTGAAGCAGCAGATAGACAGCCATATCACAGATCCAGATCAACAGAACAACGGCCTCTCCTTGAGCGGACCACCACCCGCTCCAGATCCACTGAACGTCCTGATACAAACCTCATGAGGTCGATGCCTTCATTAATGACGGGAAGATCTGCCCCTCCTTCACCTGCCTTATCGAGGTGAAAGATAAATCAATCAGACTAACTTCCCTTTTTTGCCCCACCAGCACACCATTTTATATTTCCAACAGCTAAATGGTCTTTTCTATCATCTTTGGCTGATCACTAATACCAGTCAATACTAACCTTTTCAGTGTAAACACACTACTTATATTCAATGGATATAATAGTGTGTCATATCATTGTAATTTGTTTATTAACTGTCCTGATTTCATCTGTTTTGTGATTTTCATTAATTAGAAGTCCGAGATAAATCCCCTAAGTATTCTTTCCCTTCAGAGTGAGAAGTTACTTTGTGTTCATTAGACATCACTTTTCTAATAGTCATCTTATGTCAATAAGTAAAACTAAATAGTATTTACTTTCTATCAACACTAATATCATACATTTTCTCTAAATGAATTTTGAATTGTTCGGGCGTTAGTTGTAGTTGCATTACATATTTTCTAACCATGGAATAGTTCAAGTAAGCCTGAGTAAAAATCTCTTTAGATCAAGGGAAGGTTAGTGTTAAGAGTTTGAAATCTGGAAGAAAAAAAAAAGGAAAGTAACATTACTTTTTTTTTTTTTTGCTTCAAAATTCTCCTTTTACTTTCACATGAGTAGAACACTAACTTACATTAACAAGTCCATGAATTTTATTGTAAGGTTTTGTGTGCATGTATGTGTGTATGTGTGCATATTACACAAAAAATACAAGCATCTTTTGCTACTCAAATAACCATTCAAATATCCATATTTTGTCATGTTTCCCTAACGTTTTAATCAGCAGCTAAACCTCTTTTAAAACTGCACTTATACAGCCGTCCTATGAGCCCTCTGTATTTAAAGTATTTAATTCCATATACTGAAAATAAATATTAATGATGTATGTTGTAGGTCTCACCCTCGTACTGGATCTGTGCAGACAAGCCCATCAAGTACTCCAGTGGCAGGACGAAGGGGCCGACAGCTTCCACAGCTTCCACCAAAGGGAACATTGGAAAGAAGTAAGTCTGATTTCTAATTATGTCATATAGGAAATACACATGGAAGCTAAGGTGAATCAAGATTTCTTATTACTTTTGTGTTGGTTATCTTTTGCTATGCCTTGGCTGCAATGGACAATGACAATAAATGTATTTGTGAATTCTGTTATATATTTTGCATGTAAAATTTATGCTACTTGAAGATAAAATAAGCTTTTAATTGCTCTTATTTTTCAAATTTGAATAAATGCACTTAAAAAGTAAACTTAATATTATCTTGATTATAGTAGTTGAAATACTTCTTTGCAACTAAGTTTATGTAATTGTTCATAATTACATAAAGTTTATTAGTAACTAGCTAAATCAATTTTCACACACTGCAAAGGACTGGTTAGCTGATGCACAACATTGGTGATCCTTCTCAAAACTGGAGTACAAGAAAAGGTAATCATGAATATACAAAAAAAGATGCATGTTGTACTGATATTTTTAATAATTTCAATTTTTGCATAAGAAGCAATATTTGCTGATGTGCACATGAACATATTCCTCAAATACCTATAAATTTTTGTAAAAAGGCCTCTAATAGCATGAATAACAATATAATAATTTTAACATTATTTAATATGATCCTTTTATTTGGTTTATGGGTATAATTTCAAAGCTGTATATTCATATTTAAATCACCATTTAACTTTTCTTTGATAAACTGTACATTCTTTGACTTTGGAAATTTCTGTTGTTTTTAACCCTTGTGCTTTGGTTCCCCCCTCCCTACCTTTTTTTCCTTTTTTCTATTCTTTTTTGTTGTTGTTGTTATTATTTTCCCTAGACAATGGAGTCAAGGAGATAGAACCTTATGAAGGTCTGTACATAAAGGAGGGTTTGTTTTGTGCTGACAGCCTTTTGGGGGGCTATGTAAGCAAAAATAAACCCAACTGCAATTGATGTCCCTTCATTATATAGTTTTATATATAGTAAAATTATTTTTTATGGTTTCTGATAAATTATTCAAATTTTATGTTAGTTAGAATAATACCAAGACATTAAATTGCTTTGATTCATCAAGTAAGAATACAGAACTTAACTTATTTGATGGGTAAATATTTATTTTTACTTTTTTAAGATATTTACTTTTAAGAGATTTAATTTGCCTTAAAAGCAGGATTCTAGATTTTCATGAGATTAACTAGAGATATCGATTGCAGTCTGTGTTTATGTCATTGAGAATGTACAAATAGTATAGCTGTATTTATCATCATATATTTCATTTTGTTTTATGATGATACTTTAATTATTAAATTGGGCTTTCTCAAAAAAGAAAGTTGTTGAATTGGTGGTTGTGGTTTATATTTCCTACATCATTTTTTCTGTTGTAGCAAAATTGCTTACATAGTGCATAAAAATTAAATGTTTTTTTGCTTTTATTATCAAGCACCACATTATACCTCAATGTGAAAAACAGAGTGTTGATATATAAAGTGTCATACATTCAGTAGGATAATAAAGAGAATCCTCTGCCAGTTAATTCTAAAATTATTAGCTTTTGTTGGCTGATGAATCTCTAGCACATAGAATAATGTCTGGCACTTTGTAGGCCCCGAATAAATATTTGTTGAATAAATGCCTTCAATATTTATTTCGAAATTGAAAAGCTACTCAACTAGTATATAAAATACTACTAAAAATCTCATCATTCTTTATATGTTTATACTAAAATTTATTTCCTGTAACACATTTGTAACAAAGTTCTAAACATCACATTTAAGCAGCAATGTTTTTATTCAGTTATATAACTTCTTGATAAAAGTTGTGTCCTTGGTTAGTTGTAAGCAAATAATAACCAACTTATGTTTTGTTCCTCTTTCTATTGTGTACTATTACTTTGGACAACCCAGTGATGCTGTAGTTAATTGTCTTATGCTGAATTACAAGATTTCAGCAATATTGCTATAATTTTCAACAATTTGCAAAAAACTGAGAACCTGTAATTTTAAATTACTTTTCATTTACTTTCGGTAATATATACGGAACACATGTTATCAGGATTTGTAAGCATAATTACTAAATAAATTTGTTTATATATGAAGTCAGAAGCATTTAATTTATAAAAAATTTTCTAAAACCAATTTTAGTACCCTCTCTCGTAAGATATAAATAGCCATCTAATCTTTCTTATATTAAATATGCCAGAAAACCAGACACACTGATGAAACTAAAGTAAGGGTTGATGAGATTCAGAGGCTTATCAACAATCTTTTTACCAGTTTTGTTGTTCTTTTTGTCTGTGAACCCATTAAAATAATAATTTTTCATTCATAGGTCCAGTCATAATTTTCTTTTTCATTTGTTTTATTTTAGTTAATAGTATGGATGATTTTTAAACACAAATGTTAACATAGAGACTTTAGTAGATACATAATTGTATACTTTTCTGTACTTTTAAAAGAGTTATATAACTCTTATCAAGGTCTTCAACTTCTAAATGATGTTAAAGGTTTAGTAACCCAACATAGATTATCAATTGATGGTTTACATCAAATTATACTTAGATAATTTCCTAAAAAGTTAATTGTTAGAACTTGTAATTTAAAATCTTACTTTGTAATCATCTTTAGCAGCTAAAGCATGATTGAACCCTATTCATAAGTTTTCATTATCTGTTAACTAAATAAATTGAAAATTTTATCCTATGATACTATTATTTTTAATTTTTTACCTGAAAACCAGAAAAATAATTTATTCCACAAATGTAAGACATTATTTATTATGATTGCTTTCCCCTAACTTTGATGTACTATCATTTTATAAAAGTATAATAATTTATGTTGAGTTTTTTTTGTTTCTTCAGAAGAAATGTTATGTTACTGTTTTCTAATAATATACTTCGTTTATAGACAAGGTGCTTTACCCATGTTACATAGTTACTCAGATACTTATTATACTTTAGACTTTACTGCAAATATAAACAACTTCTCACTTACAAATCCATAGCTCCATAAAAGTAGACAATGCTAATAGTAACTTTACTAGTAGTAAAATTATTTGCATTAAAATGATGTGTTCATCTTGTAGTCACTTGTTTATATCATCCTGAGTATTGTTTGTATTCATTTAAAAGTGATGAACACACCTATGTGGTATTATCTTTTTCTTTACCTGTTCAAACACAGAAGTTAATGAAGAAACTGGGCATGTGGAAGAAGAGGGGGTGAAAAAGCAGGGAGAAGAGGTCAAGGCAGGTCTGTCTGTGTGTCTTAATTAAGAAGTTAACTTTCTTATAAGTTTAACCTTTTTAATTTTACATAAGACTTTGGATTCTATATTGAAAATATACAAGAGATAACACATTTTTTAATATTTATTTTTAATTATGTGATTTTGTTAGTGAAGAATATAAACTATCTGGGTAACAATATGCCAAATTAACTTACCAAGTTTGTTGAATATTTTCCTTAATATTTTAATCAAATCAGAATTACACAGAGTGCTTTTGACCAAAATACACACCTATCCTTTCTCTGATCTTTAGTTTAAAATCAGTTACTCATTTAATAATATTATTAAGTACTAACTAGAAAATGGATTTTACCAGGTTTACACTGAGTAAAGGAAGCTCTAGCTCCTCTTTAACATTTTTAATCTAGAGATAACTGATAATGAACTATACAATAGAATGTAAATCCCTAATAGCTCTAAGAGAAAATGTTTATTTTCCCACTATTTTATTTCCTAAGAACAACTAACTTTTTGTTTGTTCCTCTTCTTCCTCAAAGTTCAGTATTGCAGAAAGATTTATTAATAGTTATAATTACCTCTTATAGTGTCCTCCTTCTAAAGGGCTCCTTCATTTCTGGTGCTTTGTAACATGTTAAATTATATATCATAATTTTGCTACGTTTGGTCAGAATGTTCTTGAAAGTCTTATACACCAACAAAATACTATATGACTAGGAATTCCTTTACAGAAGCTGTATCAAATTTTCACTATTTTCTATTGAAATCAGAACTGAATCCAAAACTCTTGTAATCTGTCAAGTTGTTTTAAATTTTAAAATTTTGGAACAGTATAGGCTAACTTTAAGTTTAATTTTACCAAATACTCAGTTGATTTTCATTATATTGAGTGTAATTTATGGACTTTTTTCTCCTTATCATTGTGAGAAAATAATGCCATTGTACACACACACACACACACACACACACATACATACACACACATTATTTATGATATGTGTTTTCATGGATGCATTCTCTGAAGCTTTATACTTTTTAAAGCTAAAATACCTTAAGGTGCAAATTGCTAAATATTTGTAACTTTTTAGAGTCATTGAAATAAGAAACATTATCAGGATATATATGATAACATAAAAGAATGGCAATTTTAATTGCATAGCTATAGACATGTATAACTTTCTCCATTCTGAATATCTAATATTCTAAATTCTAGAGTTTCCCACATCTTCTATTTTTCTGGAATGTTATAGGACTAACATTTTATGGAATATTGTAAAGGTGAATTTCATTTTCATATAGCTGAACAATGTTTCCATTCATCTGTTCCCTCTGTCTCAGACTAGTTCATACAAATTTTCATACTGAAAATTTTCACAGTACTCATTAATTGGCTCCAAAAGTGAAATTATTTTTGAGGATAGCATTTATCTGAGGACATCAGCAATACAGTATCACTTTTGTTTATATTAGCTCCATTAACATAATGGAATTCATTTGTTGAATCAGTTTGCCATTTTGTCTCATCTTTAATTAATTACTAAACTGCTTCATTTGAGCATTTAGCATAAAAGCATACATATTCATTTCTATTCCTTTTTCTGTAGGAAGTATATGCTTGATTCTGTGTTCATTAGTGTGTCATGCTTAATGCATGGATTTCTCTAGTGTGTGATTTTTTTCCTTTTGCAGTGCTTGGTTTTTTTATTTGGATTTTAATGACCTTAATTATTATTCATTATTGTCTGTTTTCAATGACAAAGACAATGGGGATAAAGCACCAAGCC